GCCGGCCGCCGCGCGTGGTCCTTCGTCCGCCGCTGCTACAAGTCGACGTCCCGGTCGGAGTGGTTAGCAGCACCGGTGCTGCGTCGAGCGTCGGAGGGGCTGCCGGAAAACGAAGGGAGGGGCGGCGGGAATTGGAAACGAAGAAGAACGAGGGGGGGGGGCGGTTAGGGAGAAGAAGAAGACGAAAAGAGAAAAGAAGGAATGGGCTAGGGTTTTGTTTTTGTTTTCTTTCTTTTTCCCTTTGTTTTAAAAACAAAATAACCCAAAGGAGGCCCAATAAGTCCAAGCCCAAAGATAAGAAATCTACCCCCCTCCTAAACAAGACCCACCACACGGGATCCGGTAAATATTAATTTAATTGGATTTTAGAGCCCGATAAATATAAATAAATTCAATTAACATTCACTTTGAAAATTAAAAGAAAAATCTCCCGATTCGAGACTAACTAACCTGAGGGACTCGGGGCGTTACATTGACACTCAAACATCTTACCAATATGCCAACATCTTAGAATGCTACTTAATTTAATTTCTCAAATATAAACCTTTTATTTTTTGAAATTTGTTTAAAAAAATGAAAGTTTTTTTTTTCATTTAAAATAGTTGTTTAGTAAAAACAATGATATAAAAATAAAAAATAAAATAACTTGAGACATGCAAATTTACCCCCAAGAATACTAACACTATGCCAATACAATAAGATAATCTGAATTTCCGTTTTTAAAATACAAATCTTTTTTTTGAAATTTTGTTTAAAAAAAAAGAAAAAGAAAAACTAAAACTAAAATTAAAATTAAAAAAAAAAACTTTAGATTTGAAATCCATATAAAACAAATTTTCTTAAAACTTATTTTAAAAAAAATCTCATTTAAAACAGACTTGTTTAAAAAAATCATATTTAAAACAAACTCATCATATTTAAAACAAACTCATTTTTAAAAAAAATCTTAAAACAAGGTCATTTAAAAAAATAAATTTTAAAACAAACTCATTTAAAAAAATCATTTTCAAAAGCATTTTTTTTAATACGTATAGGATAGGAATTCCTTGGTGTGCCCGCGAGTCTGAAGCCATGAAGGAGTGCTCTAGCTACTGTGCTGGTGCGAATCGGTCGCCGAAGATCTGTGTGTCGGTCGTAGAGGCCGCTATAGTCATCGGAGACGTCGTGGCTGCCTTGGACGTAGCTGGAAAATAGTGTATGCGGTCGGGAATGTGGACTTAAAGTGAGAAGAAGAAGGGAAGAGGGGAGATGGAGGAGGAGGAAAAAGGCCAAGGAAAAATGGTTTTTTGAGAGAGAGTCAAATAAAAGGAAAATGAAAAAATATGAACTTTAATGGAGGTTGGGTTTTCCCAATTAAGGGTAAAAAAAACAAATTTTCCTCTCTGCACTGTGTTTTTTTTTTCCCCTCCCCTTCCTCTATGCAGTCCTCTTAAATACCACAGAGGGCAACGGTAACCAAGAGGAACGTTAAAAAGGAATAGAGAAAAAAAAGGGAGAAATATGAGGGAGAGAAGCCTGTAAACTTTGACGAAGAAAAATCAAAAGAAGGATTGCTTCTTAATCTGTCTGTTAAAAAGAATCTAAATAAAAACCTTTAACTTAAAAAGAAATAAAAAGAAATTCTTAAAAAAAATCTATTTTTAAAATTTAATTGAATTAAAATAGTAAATTATGTTATTTTTAACCAAAACAATTAAAATTAAACTTAATAAAATAAATAATAATGATAATAATGATAATAATGATAATAATGAAATAAATAAATTTAACAAAAGAGAGTGTCTAGCTACAATCATTAATCCTCTCGTGGACAATGATGGTGAGTTGGTATTTATCAATCACTAGGCGATATATCACTTGAGAAGAGCAGCAGTTGCGGTACAACTTTTAATTTGGTTATATAAACTATTTGAATTTAAATATATATTTATTCAATTTTATTTTTTTTCCATGTAGGCTGCATGTTTGGAGCAAATAATTATTATCACATCATCAAAAAATATTAATAGGTTGTTTAATATACTTCAACACGTCGCTAAAAATAAGATTCAGCGACATCCTATGTTGACAATGTCGCTGAAAGCATATTTTAGTGATATTGTTGTTAATATCTCTCTAAAAGCTCCGTTTCTTGTGGTGAATATTGATGGGAGACATCTTCAAATCCTTCATCAAATGTATAAAGTGCCTACTCCTGCTCGTGGCCCTAGGCGTAGAGGATGCCGTCAAGTAGACCAGGATGCCCCAATGGAGCTTGACGATCCTGTACCTGAAGTTATTTATTATAACGTCAAGGACGTTCTATCGTTTACACAGACACAGGATGATGTTGGTCTGTCCATGCCTATGGTTATGATACCGACTCCTAGTATCACACACCACCTTTGCCACCACAGTATAGTTATGGAGTCGGCCATGGACGTGGACGTAAGGAGCATGGACAATACCTCAACCCTACAGAGGATCGAGAGACAACAGCGGCACCAATAGTTCGTCGTCAGTCACAGCATAATCGGCGATGTCCCCATTGTAGGACGAATTAGATTGATAGGCTGTAAATTGACATTAATATTTATTTTATTTATATAAACGTAAAACATTATTCTCCAATTTTGTATATATTTTTTTGATTGTTTTATTTATTATAAATTTAGTTAAAAAAAATTAATGTAAATTAAAAACTAAATTTTAACCAATAATTATAAATAAATAAATAAAGGTTAAACATGATATAAATTAAAAAAAAAAAATTGAACATGGTCGTCTACCAACTCTCGCGCCTAAGATGGTCATCTCTATGTTAGCGAAGATGGTCGTCTCTACCATCTTTCGCGCCGAAGATGAGAGACGATCATCTTCGCTTTGGTTCTAAAAAGATTGACGTGGCGCCATGTCCAATGGTCGTCTCAAGAGACGACCATCTTGGGTGCGAAAGATGGTCGTCTCTTTCGACCAAGTCCCACTCAATTTATTCCAACATTATTTCTGAAATAAGTTTGTAAATATACTTTTTTTTTTGTTTTCTAGATTAAAACAGAATTAATTTAAAAATAAGTTTTGTTTGGGGGTAAACGTACCCGGGACATGTGGAGGACCCTTATTCATGTTTGAAGAAATTAGATAAAAAGGTTTGCTTAGGTCCACCTCGGCCTCGCCGAGGAGACCAGGTTTGCCTGCTATAAAAGACTGTGTGGGCACCAAAGTTCGACCTGACTGGGGTCCGACCTGCTCGGAACCCAACAGGTCCGATATGAGAAAAAGACATGTAACCGCCGGTCGTGTGTATTGTCGGATCCATTACCTATAAATAGAGGACTTCATTTCACGCTTAGGTATCGAATCTCACCTCGAACTAAATAAGGAGTCCGATCTATACTGACTTGAGCGTCGGAGTGCTTACCCTCTTGTGCAGGTCCACTCTAGTGTTCAGGTCGGAGCCGGAGACCGGGTTCGAGCTCGATATGTGAAGAACCGTGGTGCAAATTCCTGCATAAACAAGTTTAATTTAAAATATTATTTAAAAAAAATTATAAAATAAGGGTTGAAATTATACTTTTTCTTAGTAGATGTACAGACTGAATATCTAAGTTCGTGGGTCTTCCTAATATATTTCTTTAATTACTTTCTAGATTTTCTCTAAAAATTCCCTCGTTTTCTAACTAATATTCTCTGTCCAGGTATCTCTAAATTTGCCATCTCTAAAATTCCTCACTACTTTTCTCAGTTTCTCTTTCCCAACTTCTAGAGCATATTTCATTGGCCATCTAGATTGGTTTCTTTTTCGAATTTACTCAATCAAATAGATTGAATAAATATGTGTTTGAAAGCTTTGACAAATTTATTTATGAAAACTGTTTTCGGATTTTGTCATCCCTACAGTAAACTCTGACAATAACATCCTTATGTTTTCAGATTTTGAATTTGTAACTTTAAAGTGCACAATTACATTGAAAAAATGATTAAAAAAACTTTGATAAATATATTATTTTAGGATATAAACCCATTTCATTTTTTGCTAAATTAAAACATATAAAATATAATACAATATAATTATATAATATTGTAAAATAATAATTATATAAATTTTTAGTAAAAATATTAATAAATTAATTAATATTATTTAGATAGAACTAAATATTTATTTAAAATATATTTCTAAACCTGCTATAAACAATTTATTAAATTGATATTCAATTTTCAAATCTGCTACTAAACACATCTCGGAAAACAAAGAATACCATTCTTATTTTAATACCTTAGTTTTCAAATTTATGTGTTTTTTATCACTAACCAAACGCACCATCATTTCCCTCCATCTACCAATATTACTTCTCTCTAATATATCACTCCGTCTCTCCAACTTTCAAAAAAACAAAATTAAAAAATAATTATCAAACATATATATTTTTTTTCACAGCAACAGAAAACAGACATTCCAAATACAAAAGGATCAAAATGATCTACAAAATAAAAGCTAAATATTTCTAATTTATGGATCTTGAATTAAGGTGATATTTTTTTAATAGATAATGTGTGCAATTCCATTCCTTCATTTCGTAAATTCTAAAAAAAAAATTCTGTCTTTTGATTTCTTAGGTGCTCTACAATCGACAGTTCCTCCATTCTAAGCCCTATGCACAAATAAGGAGAAAAATGAGGAAGAAAGGAGGGAGAAGCTTTCTGGGCCAAATGAATCTAAATCAATAATTAAGATGGAAACTCTCTCTCTTGTCTAATTTGACGGTTTCTGACTTGTTTTTGGAGATTCCAAAGGAAATAATGTAAGCAACTCTGGCTGGGCATACCCAGGCATTGATCTTGGAGATGGATGCAAATAAAATCTTCTTTCTTTGATTGCCTTCTCTTCTTCCATGGCATTCAGTTCCTTCTCCCCGTCCCCGATCGACAGCTTCGACAAGATCTTCGACGGAGTACCGAGCGGGCTCGAAGTGCAGCTCGGATGCTCCGATGAAATACAGCTAGTTGGCTTGAAGAAATGGGAAGCTGCTGGTTTCACAATTTGCAGCTTTGGTCTTGTCAAGTGCCTCCTTTCATGGAGCTTGGAGGTTGCGATTGGCCTCTTTGATGATCCCGCCGCCTTCGATGGCGGTGTATGGCTCTCGGATGGCCCGGTCAGGCGCTGCACGACCTCTCGGAATGTGGTCGTGTCGGTCTGGACGAATGTCGTCAAGGGTTTGCAACCAACAAGACTTTGGTTGGCTGCCTTCTCCATCACAATGCAGCTTATTTATTCATAAATCATAGCTCAGTTCTACTCATTTCAAAAGAAATAAGAGAGAGAGGAGGGAAGAAGAAGGAGGAAGGAGAAAGAGAAAGGAAAAGGAAAAGGAAAAGAATTGTTCCCATATTACATTACAACTCATAGGACAGATAGGACAAAGAAACTGTACGTGTTTTCTTAAATGAAAACTCCCATTGAGGAAGCCATTGGCTTTTGCCACATCATATGTTTGTTTCTTTGTGGGTTTGAAAAGATAAAGAGAGAGATTTGAAACAAACAAATTGTTTGCTTGACAAGGAAATGCTATTTTTGACCAAAAAGAGAGACTGGGTCAACACCACCATTCACCTCTCCAACTCATTTTCTTTTGACCCTTCCTAATACCTCAACACTAGCCTTATCAAGATAAACAAGAAGGGAATATATATTTATATATAGCCTTTTAAGTTTACAATTTTACTAAAATAGCATAAATTGCAAACTTATACAATCACAAGAGACCAACCACAAGCCGACAGACATTTAAAAAAAATAATGATATTTTTGTAAATACGTGGTTATTTTATGTTATTAGTATATTTTTCTACTAAAAAATTTAGATAGACCGTTTTAAAAATTTCAATTATATGTTTAGCTTTAATCTTGTAAGTTAATTTTAATTTGTACTCTACTTTTGAAAGTTTATCAAAATATTTATCAAAATATTTTATTCAATTACTTGTTGGTCGTGGTTTGTTACATTTTTGTATTTATCATTATCAATATTCTTCAAAACCTAATTCAAGGTTGAATGTAGCTTAAATACAGAGCATTTTTATCTAAATCTTCACTTGGTATCAGAGCGACAAATGGCCAACGCCTCATTCTCCACCGATGTTATAGTGACAATGTGCAAGGGCAGTATTGTAATTTTAAGTAA